TGAGTTCAATCCCTGGTTTCGAAAAAAAAAAAAAAAAATTGACCAAAAAACCTTCCAGATTTAATAACCAAATTCAGTAGCATAGCTGGATATAAAGTCAACACTCAGAAACCATTAGTATTCCTGTACACAAACAGCAAATTTCCTGAGAAAGAATTAGTCAAGCCATAGCTTTCATAGTAGAACCACACCCCAAAATGAAATGCTTAGGAATCAATCTAATGAAGGGAGCAAAAGCTCTATGCATTGAAAATTACAGTACTCTGAAAAAAGGGGATTGAAGAGGATATCAGAAAATGGAAAGATGTCCCTTGCTCGTGGGTAGGAAAAACCAACATTAAATATAATCCTGATCAAAATGCAATTAGCATACCTCATAGAACTAGAGAAAACATTCCTAAAATTCATGTGGAACCAGAAGAGACCTAGAATAGCAAAGTCAATTCTAGGCAACTAAGGCAGGGCAGGTGGCATCACCATCAATGACTTGAAATTATACTACAAAGCTACTGTGATTTTAAAAAGCATGATATTGGCAAATAAAACACACTTGATGATCAGTGGAACAGATCAGAAGATGCAGGCACAATACAAACATACTCAGCCACCTTATCCTTGACAAAGGGGCCAAACATGTCCACTGGAAGAAAGACAGCCTCTTTAATGGTGGTGCTGGAAAAAATGGGTGTCTACATGGTAAAGACTAAAACTAGACCCATGTCTATTACCATGCACTAAAGTCAAAATGGATTAAAGATCTAAATATTAAAACAGAAACACTGAATCTACTGAAAGAGCAAATACGTAGAAATCTTGAAGAGATATATGTAGGTGTAGGCAGAGAGTTGATGAACAAAACCCATAGTGCACGGGAAATACTCCAAAGAATCAACAATTGGGATCTCATGTCATCAAAAAGCTTTTGCCCCATCAAAACAAATCACCAACAGGGTGAAAAGACAACCCACATAGTGGAAAAATTTTTAGCCAATTGTCCTTCAGACAATGGACTTATATCTAAAACATATAAAGAACCAAAAAAAATCAGTACCCCAAAATTCACAAATTCAATCCTAAAATGGGCATCTGAGGAGCCGGGGAGGTGGCTCTGTGGAATAAGCACTTCCCTGGCAAGTGCAAGGGCCTGAGTTCAATCCCTGGTTCCAAAAAATAAAAAAAAAAAGGGCATCTGAGATGAATATGCATTTCTCAGATGAAGAAATACAGATAGCAAATAAACATACAAAAAATATTTCACAGCATTGGTCATTTGAGAAATGTAAATTAAAACAATGCTGAGAGTCCATCTCACTCCAGAAAGAATGGCTACTATCAAGAAATCAAACA